CAGAGGCAGGAAAAAAATGGGGAGGAACTGCTTTTATAGGTAAGGAGTTTTATTTTGGAATGATGGGAATGTTTGAGAACAAACCAGATAGAGGTGATGGTTGTACAATGCCACTAAATTGTTCACTTTAAAATGGCTAATTTTATGCTATGTGAATTTCACCTCAATAAATTACTTCTTTAAAAAACAGACTTCTAACAAATCTATTAGTCTTAATATCTCCCTATTCCATTAAAATCTATCCCTTGCTGGCAGATTTATTTTTTTGGTATAACACTTTCATTAGGAATCCACTATGGTTTCCTTTTTTTTTTTATCAAGGTTAAACTCATCTGCCATCAATGATCAGGGTCCTCAAACTTATTTTCCATAAGTACTACTATACATTAATGCTTGTCTTCTCATCAAATTTCAGATGTGGCCCCTCAGACTCATTTCTCAGGCCAGGATTCTCAGTGTCCACCTAAAATTATCTAATGACCATATTTAAGCATTCTTCATCTTGTTCTAGCTTCTCTATGCATCACTAATATCTTCCTTCCTTGAACTTCTTCTCCATTTCAGACAGCTTTAAAGAATGTAGTACTTTCATTTGATATGTAAAGTTCAAATTACCTAACCAGATCATAAGTTCCTTTAAGGCAAAACATCATGTCAAAGACATCATTGATTCTCACATTGTCTACTTCACTTTTGGGAATATAAGAATAACTTAATAAATGCTTCATTGATTACTCATTAACTATTACTCAGGAAAGTTAATCATCTGCTTCTCCCACTCCTGCTAAGCTATAGTATACCCTTTGTTTGGGAAAAATCCCCAACCTACTCTGCGAAGACTCTTTTACTTCCTTCATTTAGCAAGTAATAGTTTCTCTAATTTAGGGGAAATTTACTATATGCCATTGAACAAAGAATCACCATTAATACACACAGTCCCAGGAGCTATGGGGTACAATAACATGGCAATTTACATTAGTCTTCTTTTCTTCATTGGAAGTTCCTGAAGCCACTTTTTTAATATTTTTCTGTAGAAAGAACAGGTAATCATAAGTGGAAATACAGATATCTATGAAACCAATGCTTAGAAAACATACTTCAATATATGCCCCTCAATTTATTTTTAAAAAGTAATAATAATAAAAATAAATCATATTTTAAAACACTAAATCTTTTGTTCAACCAACTAGTTTCTTACAGCCCTATTCACTCTCCTTTGTCCCATATATTTATCATGTGGCAGAATGGAAAAAGCATTACTATGCTGAAGCGTTTTTAAGATGTTATGCTTGGATAAAAGGGGGACATATGGAAATCAGTTAAAATACAAGTTCAATCATGAAGCAGGAGTAAAGAAAGTCATTTTGCCTCTAAACTAGGGACATCCCAGTGATTAATTTTTAATAAGCCCAAATGAGAATAAAGACAAGGCTAAAAGGTCTTCCAGTTTTAAGTAGCTTTCTTTTCTTAGAAGCAAGAGTTCTATGCTATATAACAAAAATGTAGAGATAAAATGGGAGTGGGGGCAAGTTATGAACATATCAATACCCAATACATATAGATCCAAACATAGAGGAAATCTGATAAGACAAATCAGCATAATAAAGAGATCCCAATTATTTCTAATAATAGAGATTTGCAATTTCATGATATCACAATGACACCATTGTGCTTATATAATACATGCTGGTAAAGTCCATAAACTATGTTGTGTATTTTTCCATGATTAAAGTCCTTTTTTATTATATTTTTTATGCTATATTTTCATGAGCAATTCCAGCTTGGCTTCAGAACAACATTTTTTTCACCCACATGGGAAATCTTGCCAAATCTTCAAAGTTTTGCAATATTGTTTTGTAGTATTCATCCTACCCGAGAATCAAGAAAATATTAATTTTTTTTTCTAAAGAGAGAAGTATGCTTCCCTGCCAACACCCAAGTTACAGTATGATAACTATTAACACATTCAGTAAGTTCTCCAAAGACTTCAATGGAGATACTGTGGTAGCTGGTAGCTTCAATGAGAAGTGTATGTGTGGAATTAAGGAGCTGAATGTGGCTCAGAGCCTTTAAGCCTTTTCATGAACAAATACATAATTTAAGATTCTTGCTATCTTTTTTCCTAGCCAGTTCATATGATCAATCACTTCATCTTTCACAACCCCAGGACTCCTAAGAGGCAATGCTTCTTAGATGTCCTGCAGTGGGACCTTTTATTCAACACAGAATATCTCTACCATGAAAAACCATACAGGTTTGAAAGCAGAGATGACCTGTTCTCAATTCAGAACATTAGCTCCAGGAACTACAAAGTGCCTTTATTTCTTGAGGTTTAAATACATTTAAAAAGTCACCAAGGCAGCAGTTTGAAGGAGAAGAAAGAGGAGAAAATAAAGAGGACTGTGTGAGAAACAGAAGAAAAAAGTCAGAGAAGAAAGAATTTAGTCTCTAGGACACACTGAGGCTTGAGATAGCAAACACAAGTTATGTTTCTCTCCAAAACTCCTGGGTAGAATTGCATTTATGGAAATCCTGATTTAAATGTGCCCTCTTGGAAAGCCAAAGTAACTTAAAATTTAGAATGGTTTAAGTTTTAAATACTAGCAACATCAAACCAACTAGAAAATAGGAAAAAAAGAAAGAAAAATGAGATTCATTGGAGAAAACCACAACCAACACCATGTGCAACACAACTTAAACTCACCAAGAAAAGGATTATTCTCCCACAGTTTAGACTAACAAAGCCACATTCTAAAAGTTCCCCAGTCCTTTAATTAAAAGAAGCCCACTTGGATGATGGAAGTATGCCTATTCATAATGAGTCATCCCATGGCATATAATTTTAAGCCTGTAACTCATTATCAAGTTAAATCATATAGAATTTGGAATGCAATGATAGATGGTAAGGCTGGAAAAGGAATGAGGCCTCACACTAGTAACTAGTAACTGTGTGTGTGTGTGTGTGTGTCCCAACCCCAACCATGAATATGCAGTATTCATTTTCTGAGGTTCCTTGTTCAATCAAGACACAGTGGTTATTTGATCAAGCCATTATAGGTATTCCTGTTTTCCAATAAGGAAATCAAGATGAATAATGAAATTTTTCTCAAGGCCACACATAGAAACATAGTTTCCCTGTAAAAACTGAGCTCAGTCTTGGATAGGAAAAATATCACCCATTCATTGCAATATTCCTAGTGAACATATCCCACCAATTAGAGAATTAAGCAAGTATTGTCCATCCAGCCACTAAGTAACCTAGCCCTACATGTTCGTAGGAAAACCTTTCTCAAAAATGGAAGAGTGGGGAAATTACTGAGTAGAGCATCAATGCTCCTGACCAGTAGTGCTAGACATGAAACTCCTTGTATAAGAATCCGTGAGGGAAATGGTGACGGAAGAAGACTTGACTTGGTGAATACACAATACAATGTACAGATGGTTATTATAGAATTATATACCTGAAACCTATATAATTTTATTAACCAATGTCACCCCAATAAATTCAATTTAAAAATACTTTTTTTTTAAAAAAAAGAATTGGTGGGGAAACCTAAAAGCAATACAATTTCCTCTCTTCATGACAACCAGTATACAATGAATTACCACTTGACTGTCAATCATTTCTTAGGAGTTACACATTGTCCCAAGAAAGGATAAGATAGTGAGCATGGCCAAGGGTAGACTAGCATCCTTCTCATATAAAAATGGAGTGTAACCTGATACTATTTTATATGATTTGTTTGAACATAAGAAATGTGTTTTTTTTAATAAATCTTTATTGCTCAGATTATTACAATTGTTTCTCCTTCCCCCCTTCCCCATTGCTCCCTTCCACCAGGTTCCTGCCCCACCCTCTGCCCTTACCTCCCACCCCTCACCATTGTCCTCATCCATAGGTTATACGATTTTATTTTATTTTTTTTCATTAATTATTTTATTTTTTTTATTTTTATTTTTTACATATTTATTTTTGATTTTTTTTGCCCCCCTCCCTCCCCAGTGTTTTATGTCCATTGGTTGTACTTATATGCATGTATACAAGTCCTTGGGTTGATCTATTATCTCCCCCAGATCCTCCTCCCCTCCCCACTGTAATTTGACAATCTGCTTGTTGCTTTACTGTCTCTATATCTATCTTTTGGTTCATCAGTTTATAATGTTTTTTATTGTCCACAAATGAGTGAGGTCATGTGGTGTTTCTCTTTCATTGATTGACTTATTTCACTCAGTATGATGTTCTCCAATTCCATCCAGGTTGCTGCAAATGATGAGAATTCCTTCTTTTTTATGGCAGCATAGTATTCCATTGTGTAGATGTACCAAAGTTTTTGGATCCAATCATCAGCTGACGGGCACCTAGGCTGTTTCCAGATTCTGGCTATTGTAGATTGTGCTGCTATGAACATAGGGGTGCATATATCTTTTCAGATTGGTGTTTCTAATTTCTTGGGATATATTCCTAGAAGTGGGATTACTGGGTCAAATGGGAGTTCCATTTTCAATTTTTTGAGGAAACTCCACACTGTTCTCCACAGTGGTTGCACCAGTCTGCATTCCCACCAGCAGTGCACGAGGGTTCCTTTTTCTCCACAACCTCGCCAACACTTGTTGTTTGTTGATTTGTTGATGTTGGCCATTCTGACAGGTGTGAGATGGTACCGCATTGTTGTTTTGATTTGCATCTCTCAGATAATTAGAAGCAAATCAATGTTAATAGTTAAAAACTTCCTAGAATACTAATGAGCTTGAAAAAGTTTTATTGAACAGTTTTGGATACTACCTTTTAAGTATAAGAATAAAAAAGGTATTTCAATAACAAAACAAATATATAGCGGAGTCATTTTCCTTTGTGTGAAGAAATATGAATGAACTGTACATAAACATTTAAAAGCAAATTAGTTCACTGTCTAAACTTTAAATGTCTCAAAAGCACAGCAAATGCTAAACACACTAAGATCATGCTGCTACTTCAGTAGCTGGGAGTGGCTAGCGCTGGCCTAGGGCTTAGGATCTGCGTCCATGCTTGTTTCCTGAGCCTCCTCCACCTCCGAGAGCTTCTCATCATTTTCCAGTGTTTGCTGAAGTTCGTGGATGGTACTAAGAAGCACATGAAACTGTTTCCGTCTCAATTCCAGCTTGTCTTCAACACTTTCTTTAATATGTGAAAGATGCTCCAATTCTTTGCCCAGAGCTTCTAGTTCCTTCAATGTCTCATGCCTGTCTGGATGATGCTGAATCACTTTTGCCAAAGCATCATATTCTTGGTGATTTTTTCGTATTCGTTTTGCTTGAAGAATCTGCTTTTTGCACTCAGCAATTTTTTCATGTTCTCCAGCAATGTTACATTCTATATCTTTGTAAATTTTTTCATAATTTTCCATCTCTCTGAGATTCATATCATATACCAGCAAAGTTTTGCCCATGGAAAATTCACACTGGGACGGTGTGCTCAGCATATGTTGGTACTGGCTGTAACCCTCTTCCTGGGATCCAGAGTTGCACCATTTAATGAAACTTTTCACTAGCAGATTAATTCTGCGATCATCTCCAGCGCCATCTCCATCAATCAGGAGACGCTTCCGTATGACCGTCGTCAGTCACGGCTCCCATGGCGTGCGCGGCGGCGGCGGCGCGGGCTGAGGCAGAAATGTGTTTTACTTAATACTTCTCAATAGTCAATAAATTCATAGAATAACACTCTGGAGAGATTATAAATTTTACTTGGTAGATGAGGGGGAAAAGGATAAATTATTATACTTGTCTTTGGTCAGAATGTGAATCAATAGAGAACTCCATGCAAATAAAATAGTATATGTAGTTTTTATTCCACTCTTTTCTATGTCAAAATCATAGTTGTAATCTCTTAGCTATTAGAGTCAAAGATATTGCTATAAAGTAGTTGCCTATAAAGTCAGTCCACAGTTCAGATTTTTATAAAAGTACTCTATGGTTATAACATGAAGGTAAATAGAAAGACAAGATGTAAAGAATCTACTTATCTCCACTTTAGGAGGCAGTTGGGTAACCATTAACAAATATCTGTTGATTTGAATTCAAGATGTGGATTTACACCAGTAAAATTTGCTAAACAGATGTACAGATGTAAGCTCAAAACAATAAAAAGAATTATGGGGAAGAGAAAGAGCATTAATGAATACAAGACTTTTAACAGATTTCTGGGAGACAGCAGATGTGGCAATGATAACCAATAAAACTAACTGATTTCTTAAAGATGTTTAAGAATATGTTAAAATCATAAAATAAGAGCAGGATACTATGGAAAGTGAAAACTAAGAAATATGACAGGGATCTAAGAAGTTAAATATAATCATTACCCTTATGATTCAGCAATTCCATTCATAGAATATATCTGAAAGAGGTGAAAATATATGTTTGCACTAAAATTTGTACTTAAAAGTTCATAACAGTAATGCTTTTTAAAAATAATGTAAACAGCCAAAACCGGTTTGGCTCAGTGGATAGAGCATCGGCCTGCAGACTGAAAGGCCCCAGGTTTGATTCTGGTCAAGGGCATGTACCTTGGTTGCGGGCACATCCCCAATAGGGGGTGTGCAAGAGCAGCTGATTGATGCTTCTCTCTCATCAGTGTTTCTCTCTATCCCTCTCTCTTTCTCTCTATAAAAAAATCAATAAAATATATATTTTTTAAATAATGTAAACAAGTCAAATGTCCATCATCTGATGAATGGATAAAAAAAAAAAGTGATATGTCCATACAGTAGGATATTATTCAGTCAGAAATAGAAAAGACACGCTGATATATGCTACTATGTGAATCAACCTTGAAAACATTATTCTAGATGAAAGAACCCAGATACAAAAAGCCATATAATGTACTAGAGGCCCAGTGCACAAAATTTGTGCAAGGGGGGTGGGGGTGGGGTTGTCCCTCAGCCCAGCCTGCACCATCTCCAATCTGGAACCCTTTGAAGGATGTCCAACTGCTCACCGGGATCAGGCCAAAATGGGCAGTCAGACTCCCTCTCACAATCCAGGACTGCTGGCTCCCAACTGCTTGCCTGCCTTCCTTCTGATTGCCCCTAACTGCTTCTGCCTGCCCCCTGATCACCCCCTAACCACTCCCAAGCCAGCCTGATTGATGTCTAACTGCTCCCCTGCCAGCCTGTTTGACCCCAACTTCCCTCCTCTGCTGGCCTGGTCACCCCTACAGGACTGATTGCCTTTAACTGCCGTCCCTTGCAGGCCTGGTGCCTCCCAACTGCCCTCCCCTGCTGGCCATCTTGTGGTGGCCATCTTGTGTCCACATGGGGGGAAGTATCTTTGACCACATGGGGGCAGCCATCTTGTGTGTTTGAGTGATGGTCAATCTGCATATTACTCTTTTATTAGATAGGATAGAGGCCTGGTGCACAGGTGGGGGCCAGCTGGTCTGCCCTGAAGGGTGTCTCAGATCAGTGTGGGGGTTCCCTTGGAGCATGGGGTGGCTTGTGGTGATTTTCAGGCTGGACACTCTTTTCTCTCCCACTCCCAGTGACCCAAGCAGAGGCCCAGGTATCTGAGATTTATGTATCTTCTACAATTGAAACTTAGTAGCCTGGAGTGGCCAGCAGCCATTTCCATTTGGATTTGTTTACCTTCTACAATTGAAACTTTGTAGCCTTGAGTAGAGGCTTAGGCCTGCTAGGGCAGACGGAAAGCTTGACTTCTATTGCCAGAGAAACCCAAGCCTCCCTCCTGCTCTCTGTGGCCGAAGCCATCTTGGTTGGGGTTAATTTGCATGCTTGCTCTGATTGGCTGGTGGGTATGGCTTGTGAGCATGACATGTGGAGTGGAGTGATGGTTAATTTGCATATTACTATTTTATTAGGTAGGATGATTCCATTTATATGAAATATGTAGAAACAGACATCCATGGAGAGAAAACAGATAAGTGTGTTTTCTCTCCAGAAAACAGGAGCTGAGGAGAGGGGGAAATATGATGTGACTGCTAGTGGGTACAGAGTTTCCTTTAAGGATGATGTAAATATTATAAGATTCCATATTGTAATAGTTGCAAAACTCTGTGAAGATACTAAAAGCCGTTGAATGGAATACTTTAAATGGGTGAACTTACGGTTTGTGAATTATATATCTCAATAAAGATTTAGACATATCTAACATCTTCAAGCAAACAATCAAGAGACTATTCCAGAGCAGAAGAATCAAAAACTGCCCTCACCTAAATATGTCACTGGGAAATTTCCAAACCCCAGGGACAACGGGAAGTTTCTAAAATCTTACAAATTCTCATCTACAAAGGAATGAGTCAGCAGCAGCACTGGGCACCAGAAGACAGTTGACCATTGCTTTCACTGCTCAGTGGGAAACTTATTTTTAACAGAATTCTCGTCCCACCACACTACAAATCAAATATAAATGAATGAGTACTAAGAAAATTTTCCTTTTATGCATCCTTTATTAGGAAGTTTCCTAAGGACACACTCCCCCCCAAAAATGTGGATGAAAAGCCAAGAAGTAAGAAGTTATGAGAAGCAAATTCAACCAAGTAGAACCAAAGAGAACAGGCCCAAAATGCCAGCTCTGTAACAACCTTATGAGGGAACCATCCAGATTGCAGCAAAAGGACAGAAGGCTCCTAGAATGTATTTACGAATATTCCCTTTATTCCAGGGACTACATACAATCTTTGAGAAAGAAAAACAGCTTAAGCGTAGGATAAAAGCAGTTAAAGATGTAAGTTTAAAAAATTATCATCTCCCATAATGGGCATGTTCTATAACAGAAAATCAATAGAAAATGCTAAAAATTAAAAAAAAATAGAGAAAGAATTAATGTGTTTTGGGGTTTGTTTTTTGTGGGGTTTTTTTTTGGGGGGGGGTTGTTTTTTGTTTGTTTGTTGTTTTTGTTTTGTTTTTTTAAAATGAAGGTAACCATCAGAAGAACTTATTTTTTTTTTTTTTTAACTCAAAAACTGTTAAAAATTGCCGAGACCGGTTTGGCTCAATGGATAGAGAGTCGACTTGGGGACTGAAGGGTCCTGGGTTCGATTCCGGTCAAGGGCATGTACCTTGGTTGTGGGCATATCCCCAGTAGGGGGTGTGCAAGAGGCAGCTGATCGATGACTCTCTCTCTCATCGATGTTTCTGGCTCTCTATCTCTCTCCCTTCCTCTTTGTACAAAATCAATAAAATATATATTTAAAAAAAAACTGTTAAAAATTAAATGTGGCCAACCTGTATGGCTCAATGGTTGAACATCAAACTGTGAACCAAGAGGGCACAGTTCAATTCAAGATCACATACATGCCTGGGTTGTGGGCTCAGTCCCCAGCAGGGGGCATCCAGGAGGCAGCTGATCAATGATTCTCTCTCATAATTGATTTTTTTTTATCTCCTTTATCCCTCTCCTTTCCTCTCTGAAATCAATAAAAATGTTTTTAAAAGAGATTAAATTATTACCTCTAATAAGCAAGATTAATGGTAGAAAAAGGTGGAGGTAAATGTATTATTATTTTATTATTACCAACCTTTCAATCGAATTTTATTAACTACCATTATGTATTATTTTGTTATAATTTTTTAAACATTGAAAAATAAAATATATTCACTTATTGACTACTTACCACATGTGAAGTACTATGTTAAGGTACAAAGGGAAATAGTTGAATAGTTTTATAGTTTCCATGGGATAAAATCAAATATACACACCAACTATGGGACTTGATAAATTGAAATAAACATCATGAGATGTCACTCCTCTCCCAAAAAAGGTGCAGTGAGTGATTAATTGTGCCTAAAAATAAAGCAAAGTTGTATAAAAGTGGTTGCATTTGAACTAAACCCTAAGTATTGGTAGGATTTTGATGGATGGAGAAAGGAAAAAGTATATTCCAGTTTGTCCTAAAATACATTCCACAAAAGGACAATCATTTTTAGACATTCCTAACCAAAAGCCAATTACACCTTCCAGGAAAGAGCTGTTATTTTTGAAATACTCATCTGAAGAGGAAAAGAAATATTCAGAGTATTTCATGCTAAGCTCAGACTTACCTGTACTAGAAAATATTTTCAGAGCTTATGAGTCACTTAGTTACTTAAAGAATAAAATCCAGAGAGAAACAAGATTGTTGTGTGTCAGTGACCATGAAGATTAAATTCATTTACCTAGAACAGTTTCTGTTGACTTAAATATGCTTTGAGTTGACTTCTTCAATTCTATAGAAAAAATAGCAGAGCTTGATTCGTGGAAAATGTTCACACTGAATCACAGTCTGAGTGTTTTTTTCCTTTTTATTTATTTTTTATTAGTGTATATCTTGGTCATTTTTAACTCCAAATACATATTTATTGAATACTTAGATTTATAACCAAATATGTTGCTATCTATGCCAACAAAATTGATTTAAGTATTTTATTTATTATTGATTTTTTTAAAGAAATTAATTTTTTTCCAAACCAAGTCAATTTGCAGTTAA